CGCTCGGTGGGTTAGTAGCATAGGAATGCGGGTACTCTACCAGGATGAGTGCGTTGACGGGTGCGTAGAGAAACGCATTTGTCACGTCGATTTGTCGAAGTTGGAGATTACGGCAGGCGGCGACACAGAGTAGAATCCGAACGCTTGTATGTCGACCGACAGGAGCAAAAGTTAGTTCGTAGTCGATGCCGTAAGTCTGCTCGAATCCGCGGACGACTCATCACGCTTTGAATTTCTCAAATGACCCATCTGCATTAGTCTTGACGCGGTACACCCATTTTCCGGTGAGTACCTTTTTCCCTTTTACTTCTGATGTCGGTATTAAATCCCATGTGCCACGATTCTTGAGAGCTGCTAACTCCTTGTCCATGGCTTTGCGCCATTTTTCTCGGTGAGGACTCGTAAGAGCTTGTCGAACGGTTTTTGGTTCAGGTATCTTCCTGTCGTTGTACTGTACTGTTACTGCATATCCAAGTACTGTATCTGTAAGCCGGTTTCTGTAAAACGTGGACGTTCCTCGTTTGCACTTGCGAAATTTTCTTCTGGTCCTTCTTCCCCCCCAATTTCGTCAGGTGTAACACGAATTGCTTCGTCGGAGACGGCGGGCATCGGCTGCTGTTGGCGATCGCGTTCATAACTGAGATGAAATTCACGAACATCATCCTGGTCAGCATCTGCAAGTGGAATAAATTCAGGTATGCCGGTCGAGGCGACAAGTTTGGGAACGTCTGTTACGGCAGCTTCGGAAAAAACAGAAACGTCCTCGTCCTGTACATCAGCTTCGGCTTTGTCAGTTGCAAATGCACGTGAGCCTTCGAACAGCCTGGCGGGGTTGGCAGCTGCTGCCTGGTGGGCACAAAAAACGGGCAAGGTGAGTCTTTCATATACGAGACAATCACGTGATGGGACGATTTGGTTGGAGCGAAGATCCAAAATCTTCCATGCGTGATACTGTTTTTCGATGCCGAGGTGTACCCCCCATTTTGCTCATTCGGAAAATTTGCCGAGGGCTGCAGTTGGAGGACGAAACTGCACGACACACCCGAAAACTCGTCAAAGTTAGGTACTTCCCACTGTACGTGTCCACTGCAGGTGTGGAGAAGAGAACTCGGGCAGGGATGTTGAAGAAAGAAGGTTGTGTAACAGCACGGCGTGGTCCATCGCATACGGCCAAAAACGAGGAGGAAGAGCTGCATGCGTCAGTAGAGCACGCATCTTCTCTTGCAGATTTCGGTTCATCCTCTCTGCTACCCCCATCTTTTGGTGTGCATGCGGCAGTGACTGCTTCCGTTTGATGCCGAGAGTCTGAAGGTATTCTGTGAAAGTGTTGCTGGTGTATTCCCCTCCACCATCACTCTCGAATTCTTGCAGTTTCACGCCAGACTCTCTTTCAGCGACGGCGAGCCATGCAACGAAGACGGAGTGGGCGAGACACCGAGCGGGAAGGTTTGCTGTCCAAAAGTAGCGTGTAGATGCTTCGATGAATGTTATCACGTACCGCTCGTCTTTACAGTGACGGAAACAATTGTCTGGATGTTTTGCACTAACTAGGGTTTTTGGGCATTCCGACCACTGTACATGAAGTCTTAATATTTAATGGTGGCATGCTTTGGGAGGGGCACATAGTGGATGTGTTCATTGTGCTATAATCCATAATAGTACACTGGATCTAACTTAGTGCCAAAAGATATCCAAAGAGTACATCCAGACAATTGTTTCCCAGGACAAAGAACAAACTTCCGAACAGTGTTCCTAGTACTTAGTCCACCGACCCTTAGCCTTGATCATCACCCGCATCCTCCTAGGCATGTTATCTACGAGGTTAGTGCAAACCTTTGCAAGGAACTTCTCGCACTCTTCCTGGACCCACACTTTTGCTAAGGGGGTGAGCACTAGGAAAATCGCGAAGGATTTTAGCGTATGCAAAAGAAATGTGCATGATTTCTTAGTGATTGTGATCTCTTAGTCTTGCCACGCTAAAGTGTAACCAAAGATGCCATTAGCCAATTGATCGCGTCTTTTCATGGGTCGTCTCCGTCATACCGCTGTAGGGTAAAACCACGAACAGAGCAGAGAAAACTAGCGTATACGTCGTGAAACTGAGGGTAACGTAGCATGGTCGATTTTACACCCTTGCACTATTAGAGTCATGCTAGGATCCGCAGGTCTCGTCACGGTGCAGCAGTCGAATTAGTCACGACTGTTTGAGATGAATGCTTGAGGTGAGGTATGGTGAGGAAAAGGGTCACTCCAACGCAACATACTCATGCTCTCCAAGCCATTCCAAGCCATTTGACCCACCTAGGCTTGGAATGACTTGGAGAGCATGAGTATGTAGCACTGGAGTGACCCTTTTCCTCACCACACCTCAACCTGGATATTTTTCCCCACCAGTCGGAACTTCTTCGTTGTTGCACCGTGACTAGACCCGTGGATTTTAACCTGATTCTAATAGTGAAAGGGTGCACAGTCGACCGTGCTATGTTACCCCAAGTTTCGCGATGGATATGCTAGTTTTCACCACTCTGTTCGTAATTTTACCCTACAACGGTACGACGAGCACGACCCATGAAAAGATGGGACCAGACAGCTAATGGTCCCATCTTTTCATGAAAAGACACACCTCAGCGTGGCTAGTCAATTTGATGACATTCAATCAGAAATCGTGCACAATACTCTTGCATACGCTCAAATCCTTCGCGATTTTCCTAGAGCTCACCCCTTTATGCAAAAGGGTGGGTCCAAGAAGAGTGTGAGAAGATCCCTACAACAGTTTGCACTAACCTCGTAGATAACATGCCTAGGAGGGTGCGTGTGGTTATCAAGGCCAAGGGTCGGTGGAATAGGTACTAGAAACGCTGTTCGGAAGTTCGCGCTTTGTCCTGGGAAACAATTGTCCGAATGGACTCATTGGATATCATTTAACACTAAGTTAGATCCAGTGTACTATTATGGATTATAGCACTATTAACACATCCACTATGTGTCACTCCCAAAGCGTACCACCATTAAACATTAAGACTTAATGTATAGTGGTCGGAATGTAAAAAAACCTTCGTAAATGCAAAACATATGGACAATTGTTTCCGTCACTGTAGGTCCTGCTTCATGTAAGTTTAGTATGTCGCTGTAGACTTTCTGCATCAGTTTATAACGTGTGGAGCCAGGAAAATGACTTGGAAACGGATCGTGTGTAAGGTTGGCAACCGGACACGTGGTGCAAACCGTGGGACGGGACTGCGGCTTCATCTCCGTGCCGTCAGGTAAAAGAAGACAGTTTTTATCCAGAACTGCTGCTCGTATTGAATGATTAAGAATCCCTGCGATGGATGTCCTAACCACTGATGCCAGATATCTTCTGTGGCTTTGTGTCCTGATGATCGCAGGTAGAAATCGGCGTTAGTATAGAAAGAAGAAATGATAAAAGGAGAAAGCGCTGGTGATCTGTCAACTTCTCCTTCAACGAAATGTGTAAGTGGTAATGGAACATTTGAAGGTGCTGCTGCAGTTGCGATTGCAATTTCTGATGCTGCTTCTGTTGATGTTGTGGCAGGTGTTTCGGCGACAGCTATTGTTGAACACGGCTGCTCGACGACTTTTTCCTTTTCGGCTTCTTCAACGACGTCAGGTTCATCAGCTGCAAGTCCACTAATTTCTCCCCAAAGTGGAGCTGGAGTCCCTTGAAGAGCCTCACGAGTAGTATAAAATTTTCGCCAAGCATTGGCGCCGGCATCGGCGGTACTAAACTCCCAGGTATTCAATGCGGTAAGTATGGCGGCTGCAATTCGAGAAGCCGTTGGTACAGTAGTTGCTCGAAAGTCAATATCCACGTGCTGATAATCTGTTTCTTCTGGGTGATCCCAGGGACCAAGTGCAAGGACGCGTTCAGAATCTCCAGTAGTTTCTTGTGCTGTAAACTGAAGAACGGATACGCCATGTTGAGTGGCGGCACGACCAAGGTAAGTATTTGATGAACTATGCCATAACTCCTGATCCATTGTATCACAGTTGCCTTGAGTGCGTATTTTGTGTGCCAGGAGCTGAGCCGTGGAGAGAAGATTGAAGCCAAGCCCAGCGACGATAAGAACATTGGTAACGTGTAGTGAATATCCCGTGTCGATTGATTCGAGCATGACACTCCCAACAGATCGTGCCATAATAGTTTGTCTGTTTGCGACTGTGACAGGTATCGGACGACGAAGTGGACGCTGGTTGGTGATGAAGCTTGTTTCAGCGGAACATATGTGCCAACCGCAGCAGCTGTTGAGATACCAAGTATTCGGACCTGAAATTATTCGAGCAAGGTTAGTGTAAACTTGAGGTAAGGGAATGCCTTCAGCACTTGTGGTTTCTTCAAGTCGTGTCTCGAAATCTGTTTCGGAAACATCAACTGTGGTAACACATCCAAAGACACCTTTCCCTGATGTTGCAGATGCAAAGACCGGAGGACGATGCTGTGACGGAGACGGATTCTGCGGCGTTTTCGGCATCTGCTGCATTTGGGTCGTCGACTGCTGCGCGGGCTGATGTGGCTTCGGTAACTGCTGCGAGCGATGATAAGGCTGTGAAGTGCTGCGTCGGTTTTGATGTCGACTGCGACAATTCTGGTAAGTGTGTCCTGGTTTCTTATAGAAATGGCAGAAGGGATATTTTGGGGGATGACGATGGTGCGATTCTGGATTTGAGTAAAAACTCAAGTGTATCCCCTTTTTCTGATTGCGTTGTGAGTGCAAATCGAGATCTTGCTGTTCTGCTTCAAGATACAACAAAATTTCAGCTTCGGAGAGGTTCGGGTTCATGCGCAGAAAGGCGCGCGTCTCTTGCCATTCGGGTCCAAGGCCAGCAAGAAGGATCGTGAGATACATCTCACGAGGGAAGTATTCCCCAATTTTCTCCAGTTGATCACGTAGTGTGCGAACGCGGTTGACATAGTCCATGACGTTTTCGTTTGTCATCATCTGTACACTTGTCAACTGCGAGAGAATCTTACCCACTGTTATTGTATCTTTTGCCATATATACCCCCTTCAAGTGGTTCCATGCAGTTTCAGCTGGTGTAAAGCTTGAATGAAACGATCGGACACCAAGTTGCTCCTTCGCGACAGGTTCCGTACAAGAACAGTATATGCCCCGAGAGAGGCGTGCAAGAAACTCTGCTGCTCCAGTTGTGTTCCCGTAACATGATACGTAAACTCGCCAGTGAAGAAAGGCCATAGCCCAGCGGACTGCGCAAGAAGCTCAAATTCGAAACTCCAGGAGTAAAAATCCACTCCGTTAAAAGGTATGGTTGTCTTGATCTGTGTACCGTTAAGCAAATTTGGCGGCTGAAAAATAATACCCGGTTGTTGAGGCTGTTGCTTTGCTGTTGGTGCTGTTGCTGCTGCTGAAATTGCTGTGGCTGTTGATGCTGTTGTTGTTGTTGCTTAGCAGGGGAACGCCCGAAGATGTAAAAGGGATGCTGCTGCTGCTGTGACTGCGGCTGTTGCGCAAAAGGTGAGAAAGCAAACGAACCAGTACTTGGAGCTGTGGCTCCACGCATATAACTCGAGCCGTCAAGGCTCATTCCATTGAACGCTGAAGATATAGACTGAGTTGAAAACGGTGGTTGTGCTGATGCCTGTTGCTGTACTGATGCCTGTTGCTGTGCTGTTGTCTGTGTTTGTTGATGTTGTGCTGCAGGGGCAGTTGATGACATCCCTGGAGTACTGACAGAAGATGGATTCTGCTGCTGCTGCTGCATACCGATCTGGCATAAGCCGGTGGAAACGGTCCAGGGGCTGAAGAGACCAGTGGCAGTCGTGGAGACATGTACTCCAGTAGTTCAGGAAGTTGATCCGGCAGACGGTGCTGGTGATGAACCAGTCATTGTTGACAGTAGTCTTAATTCCAGATAGCTCTCATACCATGTAATAATTTGACAGGTGTTGCAGAAGACTAAATATAAAATCTGCAAACACGAACACTTGGAAAACCTCAAGTGTTAGCCTAGGATCTTTACTGGAACGGTAGACTAGTAAGACAGCGGAAGTCTTAGAAGAGTGAACCTGAGTATATGTTTCTGCAAAAGTTAAGTCTCAAAGTTTTCAAAGTTGAAATCTCAAGGTTAATAATAAAAGGACACAACAAAGATTTATAGCTCTAGGAAAGTACCTATTCGCTAATGTACATGTTCGTCACTATCGCGCTATGCGCCCTAGATGATAATGAAGAGGTGCGACTATTTATGTGACTGAAACGACTGTCCTATGACGAGCGCTATTTGCTGATGTCATCCTACGGACTTATCTTCTACGGACTTATCGATAAACAACTTACAGAAATGCTAAGTATGAAATATACCACAACAGAAACGACCGCGTTCGATCGTGACCGTCAAAGTGTGGTGGATTTTTTGGGGGAACTGGGGGCCTGGGGGAAATTCCGAAATGAACAAATGCTGCTAGAAAAAAAACAGTTGCCCCTCCCCTGACTCGTGGCAGAATCTGTCATGATTGGCCATTGTATGTAGTACCCTTGTAAAATACCATGATAACGTCAGCTGTCGAATTTCGAATCGAGCTGAAACAAGACACACAAAAAATGTGAGACTTCTCTGCTTGTTTGCCAAATCAGCGTTTTTTTTCGTACAGGACCTAGTGGAAAAGCGAGCTTTGCCTATGCAACACTGATGAATCTGCGATTTTTTTTTACGAGGGTGATGGAAACTTTTTTTTTAATCACGACACTGAGCAATCAGGGTACCGTAAAACCAATCGTGTCCAGGCCTGTCATTATCAGGGTATTTTACCCTGATTCCCTGATTTCACAGGGTATTTTTTTGGCCAACCCTTAATTTTCAGGGTTGGGTTTTTTTGAACCCTAACCTCTTCAGGGTTGTATGTCTGTGAACACTTAAAATTTCAGGGTTTGTGTTATACCAACACTGAGTTTTCAGGGAGTAACGCGTACGAACCCTGAATGCGACATCCATGCGGACCCTGAATTTCCTCGAAATGGCCCCCTTACGCGTGACGGGGCCAGTCCATTGAACACGCCCCAGCATGCGTCACGTGGGGAATCTGCACTCGGCAAGATTCCCGCCGTATACACGCTGTATGCTGCCATTACAGCAACATTTGCAACCGTCAACTGGCATTCGTGACTCAGCACGCAGCAGACGAGGACAGAATATGATGAGCGCGGCAATGTCAGCCTCTGTATGACATCACCCCGCCAATCATCCTCTGTGCAGACGATGCCAGCGCAGGTGCGTTTCGCCGTTGACGGTATCGCCATGGCGATACGGAACCTGGATGGGTTATGCACCATCCATGAAAATCGAGAGATGGGGCTTCTTGGTCCTCTTCCCGTCTTCTTCCCAGCTCCTCCTCCAACCGGTTTTTTTCATTTCTTCACGTCACAGCTGCGAGATGCTCCAGTCTTCAATCTCCTCTAGTTTCGTCGCGCCGATTTCTCATTTTCAGCATATCCGCCGCTTCTAGCCATGGCGGATGTAGGAGACTCTGGTGAGTCTCCCACTGCCGACGATAGTTCTGAACTAGGTAGGGACCGCCCCGTGGAGGTCCGTAGATCCGCGCTAGACATCTTGCGGTCTCCCACCGCAGTCCTTACACCATCACAACCCGTATCTACTCCCCGCTCCCTATGTACCTCCGCCCGCTGTCGCTTCATCTAGCCGGGGCCCTTTGGTTCCAGACTGCGAGACAGCCACGACCGTGCATTACACGGTCGAGTGTGCGTCGACGATTTCA